GCATTTTTCCAACTGCACGGAAATTTCACGGAGGTACGCTTCCTTAGCCCATCTGTCTTTTTTTTTCTCTGAATAATCGCCTTTGTGATATTATACGATGTTCTATCCAGACAGAGCGAAGATGGCCTACAGAAAAAAAATCGCTCCCAATGCGTAGCTAATAGTGAATGTGTAGAGCTTTCAAAGAAGAAGGCGAATTCGAAGTGTTATTTACGCATAGCAACTTTCTTTCACAGGAAGGAGGAGCGCCCGCCGTCAGCCGGGCGATCTGACTTACACCCATATGAGAAACAAAAAAGTAACATCTGCCTCAAGAACTTGGGATTCCAGGATGACACTAACTCACCCCATTAGTAAAACTCTCTCTTGGAAGAAGAGGTTCCGCAGGTGCTGAAGATGTTCGTCCACTGCCGTTTCTCGAAAAGGATGAACTAATAATTTATCACAAGGAGATATACGTTTTTCTTTCACGCTAGTGAACTAAAACACGTAACAAAGAGTTATAAAGAGAAGACTCACGGAGCAATTTCGATTGTGTGCCTTCATTTATAAACCAATCATTTTACTAAGAATCTTATCATACTTCAACGAGTAGTGAAAACCTGTTTCCCTTCTCAATATTATCTCAGACTGCGCCTTCGATGAAACAGGGTCTACAATTAAGACACGACGGTCCCGCATTTCATGGAGACATCTTTTTGCCTGGACCTTGCAATAGTGTTTCGAAAGCATTGGTTAATCTGAACAGTTTTAAGATTCACAGTAACTTGATCCAAACTCTGGTACAACCAACAAGATAATTTATCATTAGTTTCTATTATACCCTTCCAATGAACGACCCAGTCAGCGATCCAAAAAAATTTTACTTGGTGAATCTTGGTCAAGACTACATTCAAACGCACGCTCCTGCAAATCACTGCTTCCTATCATCAAAAAGAATTGATTGTTTGCACAATACAGACGCCGACCCTGGTGTCGGCGGTAGTCATCGACAGGCGTTTCGCAAGTCGACATTTTGCTGTATTAAACAACTCCTAGGCAGTGGAAATGAGTGTTTTGATCCGCTCCATTACGTATATTTACTGGATATAGCCTTAAAATTTGTTGCTCAGAAACCTCGTTGGCTTGCTTCTCATTGAATGCTTCATTGTGCCTTTTAGAGTTATTCCAATTAATGATCACGACTTCATTTCATGCTGCGCGACCATACATGTAAGTCGTGGTGAGATTCTATGCTTTTCAGTACACGAATTTCCAAGGCGAGCGCAACCATTTCGCGGCAATTACCGCTAACGTCCACCCGATAGACAGGCCGCGTTAGCGCCCCCGCTGCCGCTGACGGCTTTTGCGTTGGGCAAGTTGGAGCACGTTATGCATGGAAAAAACATGATCCAAAGCAAAGGCCCTGTCCAGCTTTGTTAACAGACGACGTCCAGCGTTGTCAACGGACGGCCAACGATTCATCAGTGCAGCTGGAACAATACCGGACCCAAAGAAAGTTCCGCAAAGCAAGGGTGCAGAGGATATGCTGAATTGATCTACTTCAAAATCACAGGAAGTCAGCGCTAACATCAACGAAAGGCAACCCCAGAATCTTTCTGGCGCCAACGAAGAAAAGCGGCTTATCTGCATTCTATGTATATGACAGCGATCATCCCCCAGGGTCAGTAGCTCCTAGTCCGTGTCATAAGAGACAGCTGAGCTATCACCCTCATTCCTCACTTGACCTTGACCCATCTGACCACTAGATGCTCGGAAAAATTTAGCGGTCAGTTGCACCTAAAACTTTGCACAAATATGCTACGACTGACTTCTTAGAATCACAGCCTTCCTTTCTAGAACAATTTGATCACAAACTTACCCTACTTTTAGACTATTGGTCATAGTAGAAGGTGAATTTTCTCTTACTCGACCATTCTGAATGAATCGAATGAGAATTGGAACAAGTACTCGACTGCCTGAAATATCATCCGAGAGCACTAATCCCTTACATCCGATGGTAGTAAAGTAGTAAGGGTAAGAAAGAATCAGTTGGTGTACAGAATGAATGGTTTTATACAGCTAATTATAGTCGTGTTATAGTAAATTTTCTAGAAGGAAAATAGTGGGGGATTTGCACAGTATAGGATTTATGGTTCTCACAATCGACTTGAGAGAAGAAGAGCTAGCTGCCCCACATAGTACCCATATTCCGAATTAGGAGCACTGATCGTAGCAATGATTACTGCTGAAGAATGTAAACAATCATAGCAAAATATACAATTCTACAGTTTCTGAAGCCGCGACTGTAGAAATCCCCTTGTTGTTTGCGAAGTTTGGAATGATCGACATATAAGGTCGACTGAACAGCCCCTACTTGACTGTAATTCCAAACTTACTGATGTTAACGCCTTGAGTGTATAAAAATTTTGCCCGTAATTGTTTCAATGTACCATTG